ATATCTCATCCTTTAAGTTAAGTATAAATTATAATGAGGGGTTGGCGGCTAGGGTTAATCTAAGAATCCTGGTTGACTTCCTACTCTTTTCTTCTCTAGTACTAAAATCTTCATCTTCTTCTTTCCCTTCACGAGGAATTCAACTAAATCTACAATCAGTGATTTCTACTTGGTATCAGAGCAGGCCGAAGGTTCCTTGAGTTGTTTTCTCATGCAGCCCTAGATCGGATGACTGCATGGTGATTTAAGAGGCTGATCGAAAATCTCAGGTAAACCCAATTTTTGGATTTTTTGGTGAATCTGTTTGCCCTGTAGCTGGTCTAGCGTTTCTCATCAAAATCAGGAAAAACTGGAGAAAGGGGAAGAGTCATGTTTCTGTTGGACTCTTCAATTTTGACCTAGGAAGTGGCACCCTAATTTTTTAGGGTTCCTTGGAGTTTTCTATAGGGGGCAGTTCAAGTCCTGCCTGATTTGGAGGCTTCTTGAGAGAGCGGCTGCCTCTTCTCTCTCCTCTCCCATCCCGCAAAAAAGGAATCTTTTGTGGGAAGACAGTCTAGGACACCAAAAAGGTGTTGTTGGTTCCAGAAGTGTTTCGTTTGATCTTCTTGCATATTTCAGTTATTTTCTTTACACTTTTTAAGAAGCATGGAAGGTCATGGAGATGAAAATAAACCTGGAAGTGAAATGGGACCAGTGGGAGGAGGTGTTAGAGACCTTTTCGAGACTAGGACCATTACTACAGTTAGGTTGGATGGTGCAAATTACTTAGAATGGTCACGATTTGCAAAGATGGCCATTGGTGCTCGTGGGGAATTAGGGTATATCACTGGTGAAGTGAAACCCGAAACTAGCAACTCCTAGTGGGTACAGGAGAATTATATGGTGATGACTAAGTTGTGTAACTCCATGTTGCCCCATATAAGTAAAAATTTTTTATGGGCAAATACAGGTAAGGAAATATGGGATGGGGTTACAGAAACCTATTCAAAGAGGGAGAATGTTGCTAGGGCTTATTAGTTGATAAATCATATTATTTCTACAAGGCAGGGAGATAGACCTATTGCAGCTTATTTTTCAGTCCTTAAAACCCTATGGTAGGAGATTGACCATTTAGAGACATTTGCTTAGGAAACCACTAAGGATGCAGCTACCTATCAGAAACATCTAGAGAAGTATAGGGTGTTTGAATTTCTT